GACGAGTGTCACTCCACTGCTGACACTGCAGCAGTGGAGTGACATGTGATGATCTTGTACTACATTGGCTTTATTTGTTTTCACTGTTACACATAAACATGTCTGTCAGTCTAGCTCTGGTTATCTCTGTCTCTGCATATCTGTCTTTGTCTCAGAGAGAGCGACTCGTGAATAAACAGGTATTACACCTGATGCAGAGATGCAGAGTCATCACATCTGATTCCTGAACACGTGACAATGCGTCAATGCATATTACTTGTCAGTCATGCTTATTATGCATTATATCTACAAGCACAGTATAGCACTTTATCTGGATTTTTGGGGTTATTTTAGGTAATTTACACTATGTATAATTGTATTTATGTGTACCTGTGAGATAGAGACAGAGATAGACAGACAGAGATAGTTACAGACAGACAGATGGAGATAGAGACAGCCAATCAGCCAGCCAAAAACATACTACACATTCCAGAATTGTTTCTCTTTACTTAGGGCATAGGTTATAGGACATTCTGGCAGGATGACACTACCAGTGGTACCAAAATTGAAAGGATGTTGCACATGGGTTATTGAGGTTTTTAATATTTCCTCAACCACTTATGGCCACATCCACCTCAAAGCCACTAAACTCGGGGTCAACATCACTTTCCTCGTAAAAGATGAGTTAATACGACATGACTTCAGTGAATCCCTGGTGTGTGCCGTACTGTTTGTTCTAGCTGGCACTCAGTTTAAGTGGTCCCAGATTTTTTTAAATACTGCACACACCGAGTGCTAAGACTCATTCTATGCTGACCAGGCATCTCGGGCCAATCGTGCCAAATTTGGAGGCAGGAAAAATAAAATGTTGATCTACATTTGGAGCGCTAACAATAACAGAGTATTTCTACGTTTGGATAGTTAAAGGGTTAAAGATCAGTGACAAAATGTTAACTGTTAGTTCTTAAGATATCTTAATGGTCTTTTAGGAACTGCATGTTTTTCATAAATCTTGACATTGTGAGATAGTATAATTCATTAGTGTAATATGCGAGTTTATTATAACATATTATTTTCAACCTTAAAAAGCAATTTGTATACATACAGTACTGTACTTCAGTATAGATAGGCAGTCTCTTGTTAAATGATTTCTTGATTGATATATACATTCAGTTCTTAAGGTATTGAAAATTGTTTCCAAAATGGTACAGAATCCATGGATTTTTCTTTTTCTTTTAAAGCATTACTAGTCAGGCTGGAGAATATATAACAACTGAAAATCTGGGTAATGTTACTTCCCTCTGTGTAGCATTTGTGATGTAACAGCTGGTAGCTTCATTTAATTATTAGATTAAGACTGCGCTAAACCCTTGTAGCTGCTGGATAATCTCTGAAGGATATCTTCTCAGTAAGATACAAAGTGTGTGTTTCATTACCTTCACTATCTAAGTTATATTTCATTTGTTAGTTTTTCACAATAAAGGAAGTACATGAAGGGAAGTAGAAATTTGTGTAAATGGCATTTGAAGTTTTAGATTCATACACATTAACTTATCATAAGTTGATTTTCATTAATTTGTCACGCTTAAGTCATGTAAATATATGGCTGTATGCTTAGATTAAAATGTTATAAACACTGATCACTGAAAAATCACATGACCAGGACAATGAAACAGAAAAAACAAGGGGCCAAGATGTACAGATTTCTTTTTATCTGCCTTTCATTTTTCTGTCAGTGATTCCTCACTTTTCACGTGACTATACCCGTGTTTGTTATTTGTCATGCGTATTGGGAAAATTTTGCTCACGTTCTCCTATATAATGTGTTCACAGTTTGCCAGTGTTCAGTCATCACATTTTACCAAGTAAAATAGTGAACCATAATGAAGCAAATTCTTAAAATTAAGGGAAATTCTTGATTTTTATTGCAGAAATAATATTGTGTGTAAGAAATTTGAATAACAATATTTCACTGTTTTTCTTGAGGAATAATGGAAATGTTGAGTGTTTATGGCCCCCATCTTTGTGTGTAATATAGCATAGATGGTGGTTCCCAGTGTTGTATGTAATATAGCATTGATGGTGGTTCCCAGTGTTGTATGTAATATAGCATAGATGGTGGTTCCCAGTGTTGTATGTAATATAGCATTGATGGTGGTTCCCAGTGTTGTATGTAATATAGCATAGATGGTGGTTCCCAGTGTTGTATGTAATATAGCATTGATGGTGGTTCCCAGTGTTGTATGTAATATAGCATTGATGGTGGTTCCCAGTGTTGTATGTAATATAGCATAGATGGTGGTTCCCAGTGTTGTATGTAATATAGCATTGATGGTGGTTCCCAGTGTTGTATGTAATATAGCATTGATGGTGGTTCCCAGTGTTGTATGTAATATAGCATTGATGGTGGTTCCCAGTGTTGTATGTAATATAGCATTGATGGTGGTTCCCAGTGTTGTATGTAATATAGCATTGATGGTGGTTCCCAGTGTTGTATGTAATATAGCATAGATGGTGGTTCCCAGTGTTGTATGTAATATAGCATTGATGGTGGTTCCCAGTGTTGTATGTAATATAGCATTGATGGTGGTTCCCAATGTTGTATGTAATATAGCATTGATGGTGGTTCCCAGTGTTGTATGTAATATAGCATTGATGGTGGTTCCCAGTGTTGTATGTAATATAACATTGATGGTGGTTCCCAGTTTGTATGTATATAGCATGATGGTGGTTCCCAGTGTTGTATGTAATATAGCATTGATGGTGGTTCCCAGTGTTGTATGTAATATAGCATTGATGGTGGTTCCCAGTGTTGTATGTAATATAGCATTGATGGTGGTTCCCAGTGTTGTATGTAATATAGCATTGATGGTGGTTCCCAGTGTTGTATGTAATATAGCATTGATGGTGGTCCCCAGTGTTGTATGTAATATAGCATTGATGGTGGTTCCCAGTGTTGTATGTAATATAGCATTGATGGTGGTTCCCAGTGTTGTATGTAATATAGCATTGATGGTGGTTCCCAGTGTTGTATGTAATATAGCATTGATGGTGGTTCCCAGTGTTGTATGTAATATAGCATTGATGGTGGTTCCCAGTGTTGTATGTAATATAGCATAGATGGTGGTTCCCAGTGTTGTATGTAATATAGCATAGATGGTGGTTCCCAGTGTTGTATGTAATATAGCATAGATGGTGGTTCCCAGTGTTGTATGTAATATAGCATAGATGGTGGTTCCCAGTGTTGTATGTAATATAGCATAGATGGTGGTTCCCAGTGTTGTATGTAATATAGCATAGATGGTGGTTCCCAGTGTTGTATGTAATATAGCATAGATGGTGGTTCCCAGTGTTGTATGTAATATAGCATAGATGGTGGTTCCCAGTGTTGTATGTAATATAGCATAGATGGTGGTTCCCAGTGTTGTATGTAATATAGCATAGATGGTGGTTCCCAGTGTTGTATGTAATATAGCATAGATGGTGGTTCCCAGTGTTGTATGTAATATAGCATAGATGGTGGTTCCCAGTGTTGTATGTAATATAGCATAGATGGTGGTTCCCAGTGTTGTATGTAATATAGCATAGATGGTGGTTCCCAGTGTTGTATGTAATATAGCATAGATGGTGGTTCCCAGTGTTGTATGTAATATAGCATTGATGGTGGTTCCCAGTGTTGTATGTAATATAGCATTGATGGTGGTTCCCAGTGTTGTATGTAATATAGCATTGATGGTGGTTCCCAGTGTTGTATGTAATATAGCATTGATGGTGGTTCCCAGTGTTGTATGTAATATCATGATGGTGTTCCCAGTGTGTATGTAATATAGCATTGATGGTGGTTCCCAGTGTTGTATGTAATATAGCACCGATGGTGTTCCCCAGTGTTTTATGTAATATAGCATTGATGGTGGTCCCAAGTGTTGTAATATAGTGATGGTGGTCCCCAGTGTTGTAGTATAGTGATGGTGGTCCCCAGTGTTGTAGTATAGTGATGGTGGTCCCCAGTGTTGTAATATAGTGATGGTGGTCCCCAGTGTTGTAATATAGTGATGGTGGTCTCCAGTGTAGTATATAGTATGGCAGTGGTGGTCTCCAGTGTTGTAATATAGTAATGGTGGTCCCCAGTGTAGTATATAGTATGGCAGTGGTGGTCCCCAGTGTTGTATGCAATATGGTGATGGTGGTCCCCAGTGTAGTGTATAATATAGTGGTGATGGTGGTCCCAGTATTGTATGTAATATGGCAATGGTGGTCCCCAGTGTTGTATGTAATATAACAGTGATGGTGGTCCCTGTGTTGTACATAATAGTGATTATGGCCCCCAGTGTTATAATATGGCAGTCCCCAGTGTTGTACATAATATAGCAATGGTGGGTGGAATAGTTGATGTAAGCATCACATATACACAGTATACAACCGTGAGTGTTTGTTCTTAAATTAACATTGTGTATATAACACTAATCTGAAGCCTGTGTGTATTGATTAGTTTCTGTTGTGCTGAGTCTAGTTATTATATAGCCTTAGTTCATAGATTAGTACACTTGTGGGACAACAAAGTGATTCTTATAGACAAGTAGGTCAGTTAAGAAACTTATATTAATCTGTTAGAAAGTATTAGCTAATTACAGAGTTTGCATGATCATTTCAAAATTTTATTCCCAAAAATGCCATTTTGTTTTTATCAGTATGGTTGCACATATATATATATTATATATATTATATATATATATATATATTATAAAATATATTATATATATATATATATATATATATATATATATATATTATATATATATATTTTATATATATATATATATATAAAACCTAAGGTAATTAGTTGTTTTAAAACTTTATTTTATTTGTTTAAAAGCTTTTAACTAACTGTATGATGCATTAACTTATTTAATTATTTCACCATTTCAATGATGCAATATTACTTCCTGTTAATCTTCGAAGAATTTTCTGGATCAGTAGAACAAACCATAATTATATCTAATATAAATCTGTAATATTTTCAGCTTGCTGCCTCTGCATCGCCACCAATGTTAACGCCAAGTCGAAGCTTCCAGTCTCTGAATCGCTCTGTTTCCTCTCAGGACAGCATCCCCAGCTCCCCAACACGCTGCAAGTCTCCTCATTCACCTCCTACTGCAAGACTCTTCTCCCCATCTGTGGAACAAGTTCAGAGTCCCCTCAATTCCTCTGGATCATCATCACCAACATCCTCTGTACCTAACTCTCCAGCAGGCTCATCAACACTTCATCAGCGCCCTTCATCCTTGCATGTTGTTAACCATAAAGTAACGAATGTGAAAAGTTTCCGTTCGCCTAATAGACGGAAATCGGTTGGGCATATTCCCCTTTCTCCTCTGGCTCGCACTCCTTCCCCTTCTCCTTTACCAGCATCTCCTACTAGATCCCCCTCACCTTTGGTTCACAATCATAATCACCACCATCACCATCATTATCATCATCATTGTCCTGGTTCCTCCAATACTACTCAGACTTACTCTCCTGGATCATCTCTAACTCCTGGACCAGCCACAAAAAAATGCTTAGGAAGACCCAAAAGTGCTGAACCTGGCTCTCCGTTGCTCCGTCGAGCACTTTCACCCGATCGTCTTCATCCAAGATCAGCTGAAGCAAAAGGCACAACAACCATCAGCCCTCTGGCTACGCCATCTCCAAAATTAGGAAATAATCCACCAAGACTAACCGTAACATCACAGTCGCCTCCTAATTACGAGACGCCAACTGTTGTTCGATCAGTTGCTCCAACATTGCTCACCCAGCGCTTCTGCAGTGCAGTCAGTATTCCACCAACCCTTCCAACAAGCACTTTGGAAGAAGCCCCAGAGGAGCTAGATTCACCTGAGAGACAGGAAGCAGCACGAACAAATTTTTGTGAAGGCCCCCAGGGAGGCAGAGGATCACTGCCAGGGACCAACAGTGTTTGCTGTGGGGGCGTAGGAGTTTCAGGATCGTGTTGTGAAGAACGTTCTCAACCAAGCATACCTACAAGAAGCAGTCAAGGTTACCAAATGGTTGAGAGAAGAGGCAGTAAGGATCTTGTAGAGGGACGAGAAAAGCATCGCAGTGACAGTCGTGGTCGCAAAGACAATAGGGATTTGAGGAGAGAAGACAGTAAGCGAGAATCTCGTCGTACTGCACAAGAGAAGCGGGAGCTGTTCAAGGCAGGCAAGGAAAAAGAGGGTACCTCCTAGGGTTGGCCCACCGCTGGCCTGCCTGTAGCTCCAAGTGGCACAGATTTGTGCCTTCAACACTTGTGTGTATTTTGGGCAGGACCGCGGCATGCCTTCTCCGAAAAAAAGTAAGGAGACACCTGCAGCCTGTGATGATATCTTCCCTTTCTTTCTGGATGAATCTTAAAATATTAAGTATAGTAGCTAAGCTACTGAAATCATTCCTGGTGATTGTTGGTATGTGTAAAGTTGTGGAGTTGTTGTGATGCCACAAGGCATGGTTGTGTTGCTACTATTGTGATAATACAGAGACCATGACAGTCTCAAGCTTTAGTGTCTAATAAAGTCATCCATACTTAGGCACTTGCATTCTTTGGTCCCTGTCATTTTGTAAATACTTTAATGTAATATGTTTCTTTATCTCAAAGATTTTTACGTTTTTACTTACAAATTTAGAGTTGAATGTGTTATATTTGCAGATTATGAATATTAATGTATGTACTCATATTCATTTGTCATGTTCATGGAATTTTTCCAGTACTGTGTATATTTTGTCCCTCATTGTCATGTTGCTGTACACCCTCAAAGTTGCCATGTTGGAGTTGTTTTCTGGAAGTTAGGTTTTTAAACAATTCACTTTCCAGTCTGCTACCCTCAGGTTATAAAAGTACAGTAATTTAAAATAATGATTAATATAATATTCATGGAAAAGCGCTAAATCCATAGGGGTTTATACAGCGCCTGGGGAATGGGAGGCAGTTAGGCTTGAACCAAGGAAGGGGAGAGTAGCTCCAATGCCTTGGATCAGAAGTCCAATTCAAAATATAAAGTTGATGGCTGTGGTTTGGTGAAGCTCTTGGTGACATTGTGTTCTGCTTGTGATTTCCTGTTGTTGAAAGATGTATTTGTGTACTTAATATGGAAGATGTTTTTGCCACTACATCCCTGGGCTGGGTGCCTGCCTGCCTGCCTCACTATGTGCATAAGCATTGCATTTCCATGGTAGCAAACTATTGGCCCCTTAGTTCATATTGTAAGGCACCATTGGCACTTTGTGTATAGCATTAGTTGCTTGAGATTCTTTAGCATTAATTCAAAGTTAAGGGAATTTGAAGATTAGAACAAAAGTTTTTATGGGTGAAAATTTAGTGAAGAACCACCTTACTATGTGGGTTTTGAAAAACTTGTTTTATTGTAAAAGTCACCAGACTTACCTGTAGGTCATGTACAAGATGACTTAATGTTTTTATGGACACTAACTAATGCTTCCTTAATGCATTTGTCATTAGACCTTGTTGATGGTCAGGTCATGTTTGAAGCTTTTATCTAGCAGTAGAAAGTGACACCAGTCTCCCATTAGATAGCTGTGAGGAAAATTTGTATATTGTGTAGAAACCATTTGTAAAGAAGAATCCTTATTTTCCATGTATAGTGTTTGTAGTTTATCAGTTAATGATATTTAATTATGATTTTCAAAATGTGGTTAGTCAGTGCAGTTTCTCTGCTAATGTTATTCAATAGAGCAGTTAATTAAGAGACCAGTGGTCACATCTGTCTCGCTGGTTTAATGTACAAGAGGTCTTCCCTGTAAAGCCCAGTTAATGGATAGACCAATATTATGTATAAAAAATGTAAGGTTATATATGGTAAAGCACTGAAAAATACATGTATATTATTTTTTTTGTTTGTTTTTGCCACTGGTCAAGAGAGAGAGATGTTCCTGGGGACAGGAGCTACAGGACGGGACATTTTCTACTCAATTCATGCATTTACTGCTGTAGTCTAACATTAAATACGATGAAATGCATGTCAGCTTTGAGCATCCATTTAACAAGTGTAATTTTCTATATTTCCTTGATTTAAACATGTATACATATGTATCATACTTTTTCAATTTCTAGCAATATCCTGCAGATGTGCAATCAGTATGGTCCACCCAGTATCTTCTGTTAGTTAATTGATTGATAGGTTGAGTTTGTCCTTTAATATTAGTCAAAATTTATTGTAATCAAGAAATTTTTTATCCATTGTGTCATAACATTCTGAGTGTTGTCACATCATTGTTAAATGTAATTATCCAGTTATCTTGCTGAGCAGTACCAAATATTTAAATATAAAAAGTTATTACTTTAAATATACATACATTATTTTTTAACACACCAGCCATCTTCCTTAAGGTAGGGTCATCTCCTCCCCCATCAGAAAAAAAAAACTAGTGTTTTTCTTTTTACATTTAGTAATTTATACAGGAGAGTTCCCTTGCTCCAGGTATATTAGTCCCATCTTAAGACATGCATGACTTACAGAGCAAAGATTCTTCTGCACTTCCCCATGCAGTATGTATGTTTATACAGTGGAACCTTGACTTACGAGTTTAATTCGTTCCGTGACCTAGCTTGTAACTCAATTTGCTCGTACATCAAGTCAGTTTTCCTCATTTAAATTAATTGAAATGCCATTAATCCGTTCCAGCAGAATTCCTGCTCTCAGGAGGCAGGACAAAAATACTTCAGTATGATGCTAATATCAACTATATTTATCTATCACAATTCATCTAATATGACATAATAAACAATATAAATAACATAGAAACATGATATATATACTCTAGAATGAATAAAATGTCGTGTGATGGGTGGTGGCGGCCATTGCCACTCCCACACTGACCGTGCTTCCCCTTCAGAGGTCTTATTATAAGAGAAAACAAAGATTGTGAGGCTAACTGCACTAGTTTCATGAGGAAAACACTTAAACAACGTATTATTAAATAAGAAATATTGTATAAAAACATAATAGCGAATGTAAAGAAATAATGCTACACTTAATGCTTAATGTGAGGCAGTACCAGCGTAGTAGAAGTACGTACTATGCTCGTACTGTGTCGCAAAAACAACCCGCACACCTCACACCTCGCTTGTGTTTATGATTTCATGCTTTAATTCATTGGACATCATCATCATCATTTTCTTCTCAGTACTGTCCTTTGCACTTACTTTCTTAGGACCCATGGTTAGAAAAATGAAATTTGGCAAAATAACTACACAAATGCAAGCAAAACACGAGAGAAATGCTTCCATCAAGGAACCTTGATTCTGGTGAGGGGCTCTTGATCAAGGGAATTGGATCTGTGCTCCAGTTCTCTAAATTAATACAAATAATTATAATAATTAAAGGTAGTAGGTTGGTAGACAGCAACCGCCCAGGGAGGTACTACCGTCCTGCCAAGTGAGTGTAAAGCTGAAGCCTGTAATTGTTTTACATGATGGTAGGATTGCTGGTGTCTTTTTTTTTTCTGTCTCATACACATGCAAGATTTCAGGTACATCTTGCTACTTCTACTGACACTTAGGTCACACTACACATACATGTACAAGCATATATACACACCCCTTTGGGTTTTCTGCTATTTTCTTTCTAGTTTTTGTTCATGTCCTCTTATCTCCATGGGGAAGTGGAACAGAATTCTTCCTCCGTAAGCCATGCGTGTTGTAAGAGGCGACTAAAATGCCGGGAGCAAGTGGCTAGTAACCTCTTCTCCTGTATATATTACTAAATGTAAAAGGAGAAACTTTCGTTTTTTCTTTTGGGCCACCCCGCCTCGGTGGGATACGGCCGGTGTGTTGAAGAAAGAATAATAATAATTATAATAATAATGAATGAGCTTCAGTTCCCTAAATTAATAATAATAATGAGGAGCTTCAGGATGCCACCAGCTGGCGCAGTGCACTGTTTACTTCGCTGTGGAAGCATTTCTCTCGTGTTTTGCTTGCATTTGTGTAGTTATTTTGCCAAATTTCTTTTTTTTTAACCATGGGCCCTAAGAAAGTAAGTGCAAAGAACAGTACTGAGAAGAAAAAGATAATGTCCATGGAATTAAAGCACAAAATCATAGATAAACAAGCGAGGTGGGTTGAGGGGGAAGCTCGCTCGTAACTTGGATGTTGGCTTGTAACTCAGAGCAAAAAATCGACCAAGTGATGGCTCGTATCTCAAAAAACTCGTGTGTTGGGACACTTGCAAGCTGAGGTTATTTATATGTTGTATTAAATAAGCCAAATAGGCTGAACTCCTTTAAGAATTAACTTGAAAAACAATTTTTTTTACAGATTGATAGCTAATTTTATTAACAATGGTATAATGTTTTTTATTTTTGGACTGAAACTAACTTAGAAACCTCACCTAACCTCCCTAAAACTGCCTCGGTGGGAGACGGCCGACTTGTTGAAAAAAAAAAATATATATATATCTTTCTTTCAACACACCGGCCGTATCCCACCGAGGCAGGGTGGCCCAAAAGGAAAAACGAAAGTTTCTCCTTTCAAATTTAGTAATATATACAGGAGAAGAGGTTACTAGCCACTTGCTCCCGGCATTTTAGTCGCCTCTTACAACACGCATGGCTTACGGAGGAAGAATTCTGTTCCACTTCCCCATGGAGATAAGAGGAAATAAACAAGAACAAGAACTAGAAAGAAAATAGAAGAAAACCCAGAGGGGTATGTATATATATGCTTGTACATGTATGTGTAGTGTGACCTAAGTGTAAGTAGAAGTAGCAAGACGTACCTGAAATCTTGCATGTTTATGAGACAGAAAAAAGGATGCCAGCAATCCTACCATCATGTAAAACAATTACAGGCTTTCGTTTTACACTCACTTGGCAGGACGGTAGTACCTCCCTGGGCGGTTGCTGTCTACCAACCTACTACCTAGGATATATGTATGTAAATATATATATATCATCATTGGTCAACTTAAATTTATTTAATATTACATTAAATCTATGACATGTATATTTTTTTTGTTATGCTCAGATTGATTTCCGCTGATTTGGCAAAAAGAAATTTTCATTTGGCTTATTAGGCATGACATACATACCTGGCTTGGAGGGACGGAGACAGGCAGACAGACACACACACACACGGGGCCAGGAGTTGTGTCTCGACCCCTGCAACCACAATTAGGTGAGTACACATGCACGCATGCATGCATGTTGGGGTGAGTATAACACCGGGCACATCAACCAAATAACTGCTGCAGCACACAGGCACATAGGAAACCTAAGAACAACATTCCAACATCCTAATAAGGAGTAGTTCAGGACCCTGTATGTTGTGTACGTTAGGCCTGTATGGAGTATGCAGCACCAGTTTTGAACCCACACCTTGCCAAGCACATAAGGAAACTGGAGAAAGTGCATAGGTTTGCAACAAGACTAATCCCAGAGCTAAGGGGTATGTCCTAGGAGGAGAGGTTAAGGGAAATTGACCTGATAACACTGGAGGACAGGAGAGATGGGGGGGGATAAGATAACAACATATTAAATACTGAGAGGAATCAACAAAATGGACAGAGATGGGACACAGCAACAAGGGGTCACAGCTGGAAGTTGAAGACTCAAATGAATCACAGGGATGTTAGGAAGCATTTCATCAGTCACAGAGTTATCAGAAAGTGGAATAGTCTGGGAAGTGATGTAGTGGAGGCAGGGTCCATACATAGTTTTAAGAAGAGGTATGATAAAGCTCGTGGAGGAGGAAGAGTGACCTAGAAGTGACCAGTGAAGAGGCAGGGCCAGAAGCTGTGACCTGACCCCTGCAACCACAACTAGGTGAGTACACAGAGTAGCCCCTTGTATCCACCAGGGATACATTTCTAGACCTATCATGGATCCAGACACAGCTGGTAGTGACCTGAAAGCAGCAGCTTCACCATCATTGACTCCATCACTGTGTTGCCAGAGGCATGCAAATAGTACAGTTCAGATGCCCCTCCAAACTGCAAATATCTCCTCTAGCATGCAGGCACTGTACTTCTCACCTCCAGGACTTGAGTCTGGCTAATTTAAAACACATATGCTGTCTACATAATCACACAAATCAGTCATTTGTTTATACAGTGTTACTTCCTCAGTTTACCACTGTATGACCCTTGCAGTTTAGTGCTCCTTTTGATTATAATCCAGTTTACCATGTTTGAGTGTTTTGCAAATACAACCTGAGTAATGTTATGATATTATGGTTTATTTTCTAGTACAAGCTCCTGCATAGTGTCCCTAGCAGATGAGGACTGACTAAGAGTACCACTTTCATATCCAACATGGTTGATAAGTCATCACACATCCCATATTTTCTAGATATTAACTTAGAGATAATAAAATGTCTTAGGTTTCCAGGTGTGTTCTTAAGTCTCCTTCTGCATGGTGAGGCACTTGATACAAGAAACTTCCTGATGAGCTGGGATGTCATACCGACTGTGTGCAGCTAGCACCATAAGCCAAGTTAATCAGATTAGCTACCAAAAGGCTTGGCCATAGGTGTGGTGAACTATGAAATTTTTTTCATAATACTTGCAAGGATCCTCCCATTCCTTGGATTAAACCTCAGTGCCTCCCATTTCCCAGGCACTGCATGATCCTTATAGCATTAGGACTTGCTCCGATTAAAATAAAAATTTTCCTCTCCTGGAAGTTGATTATCGTGTATTTGTGGAGAAGTGGTAAACTAGCAGAGAGTCATTAATGCCTAGGAAATGGGAGGCATTTAGGTTTGATTTAAGGAAGGGCAAGGTAGGTCCATATAGAAATTGAGTTTTTGCTGGGGCTGTGTTTCTTCAGTAGACAAAATACTACTAAAGTGAGAGAATGGCAGTAAAATTGGAGGTTGTGTAGGTCATCCTA